ATTTGGTTGTTTCTTTAGAGTCTCGCTGGATAAGCGCAGACTTTTGCTTTTCCAGTCTAGTCATTTATTTAGTGTATATTTGAAGGTTCTAAAAGTTAGCATCTTTCCTTATTATGTGCTCTTCTTTTTAACCAGTGTGGAAAGAAGAGACCCTCTGGTGGCCCTGGCCCAGGAATACGGGGGCTCCATACGCAACGCACTGCTGAAGTGGTGCCACAAGAAGACAGAAGGATATGCGGTAAGGGACACTGTAGCCAACTTCCAGCCAGCTCTGGGTGGTGGTCGTCCTGCGCCGGTGCGTGGTCTGTGTGGCCCAATATGCATATGACTGTCCCCTCTCTACTCCCGTGGCAGGGAGGGTCTGGTACGTGCGCACTGCACAGAGGCACCCAGACGAGGGGGCACCTGGGACTGAAAGCCAGTCTGCACTCTGCCCAACAAACCGTACACCTCAGTGCAGGGCTGCATCCCCTGTGGGAAGGAGGTCCTTTTTCATTGCTCAAAAGGAAACATAAACCACCCAAGCGGTGCCCCAACAGGCTGATTCCTCCCAAGGAGACAGGTTTTGCTAAATCACCTTCCCAATAATGGTGCCTTCTCCTAATTTATATAATGGCCCCACATAGGTGGGCCTCCAAAATTTTTCCAAAAATATTCCTTATATTGCTTTAAGCATTGTTTGTATTTAGTTTGAGTGTTGGTTTAGGAGAGCAGTATTTGTTTTCTGTTAGGGTCAGATAAGGAAGTAATATTAATGTAAGATTTAGCTTTTTTATTATGAAATATCATGCACAAAGGTAAAAGTGCATGGAATAGAAATGATAGTTCCATGAATTATCATGAAGTGAAAACACATGCAGTTATCAGTCCCATCTGGAAATGGAGTGTTGCCAGTTCGCACAACCTGTTCATGACTTTCCAGTCGTAACCCCTCACTGCTCCCTAAGATAACTACTGACCTCAATTTTTTCTTTATAGTTTTCTACAAAAGTATGCATCCCTAAGTACTGTTAGATTTGCCTGTATTTGAATTTACTATACCTGGGATAAAAAGCCGTGTGATATTTGCATCTGGCTTTTTCACACAGTGTCATTTCTGTAAGATTTATCCATTTGTTGTTGCATGTAGCTATAGTTCATTTTCTTCACCATTTAGTAACCCTCTATATGATTATACCAGTATTTATTTATCCATTGTATAGTTGATGGACAGCCGAGTCATTTCTAATTTGGGTCTATTAAAATAGTGCTGGTATGTTCTTGTGCATGTCACTTGAACATGTATGTTCTCATCCCTGCTGCACATACACTTTGGAATGGAATTACTGGCCCGTAAGGTATGCATGCATTTGAGTATAGTAGATAGTACCAAGCACTACTGAAGTAGTTGTATAATATACATCCCACCAGCCATTTATGAGAGACCTATTTCTTCACATTGTCACCAGCACTGTGTATTGTCAGCATTGACTCGTGGTCATTGAGGTAATGTGGAGTAGTGTCTCATTGTGGTTTTGATTTGCATTTTCCTGTTGGCTAATGAGGTCAGGCCCCTTATCACATGCTAATTGTTTTGATAGTCTCTTTGGAGATGTGCCTGCTTGGGCCTTTTGCCCATTTTAACATCAGATTTTCTTTCCCTTACTGCTTTTAGGAGTTCTTCACATACTCTGGATATAGGTCTTCTGTGAGATGTACGGCACATACCTTCTCCCTGCGTGGCTTGAATTTTCACTCTGTTGATGAACAAAGTTCCTCATTTTAATTAAGTCTAATTTGCCAGTCTTTTCTCTAGTGGTTAGTGCTTTCGTGTCCTGCTTAAGCAGTCATTCATTTCTAAGTCATGGGGATGTTGTCCTATGTTTTCATCTAGGAGCTTTGTTGTTCTGCCTTTCACACTCAGTGATACCCGCTCTGAACTGCCAACTCCCACTGCTTTCTTCTTGCTCGGGCCTGGCTCTCCTAGCCCTCTTGTGCTGTTTTGCTGAAACTGCTGAAGTTCTGGCACCATAGCACTCCCTTCCCAACCTCAAGGTTTTGGGAGTGGCAGCAACAGAGAAGGAAAGAAATTAGCTGGAAAACTGGGCCTCAGCCAATCCCCAGACCAGATAGTTAATCAGCAGGGCTGGATGCTCTCTGTGATATCAGCAGTCGGACGTCTTATAATCAGAATCTGCCCAGGAACCCAAGCATCTTGTGTCTTTGCATCTGTGTCACTGGTCACGTTAACGACCAGTGATAGTGGCTGCCAGCATGTGAACTTGCTTCTGGCCCATCGTTTATTCCTTCGGCTGCTCTGTCCACTCTGCCCCAGCCCCGTTGTGAGGGCTGCATCATCCCATAGATGAAGGGCATCTCAGTCAGAGCATCCCGTAGCACGTCAGCCACGCTGCTGAGGAAGTGGAGAAGAATCAGAAGTCAGAGAGAGAAAGCTGACCGCGGAGTCACAGCTTAAAGGAAACAGGAGTGGGAATGGGAAATTGAAGAAAACAGTTTAAAACGCATAGTTGGTCAGGAGTGAGGTCTTGGCTGTGGCTGAGCCACGTGTGGTCCCTGTACTGTCATTTCCCACCTTCCAGAAGCGGGTTGAGGGAACTTTCAGAGTGGGTATAAAAAGTGCTCAGAAGGAATTGGCCCTTTGTGGTGTAATGTTGATAAATTGCAGGGAGGAGACAGACCATAAGCTATTTCCAGTTATAGTTGTGAGAATATTATTTCCTGTTGTCGTGAATTTTTGTTGTTGTTTTTGCAAACATCTTGAATTAGTTTTTAAAACATTTTATGTTTGATGAAACACAAAATATTTTGCCTGAAGAGTATTTTTTTGTTCGTTGCTAAATCTCTGTGAATTTAGAGAGAAATGTAAAACTCGTGTCTTCTTTATTTAGTCATCACAAAATACCCCATGTCTAGACCTGTTTCTCTAAGACACCTCATGAGCTTGTTCTCTCAGAATCAGGAAGCCAAAACGTAGTTGAAAACTCAGATAGTGTATAGGCTTTTTGAAAAACAGTAGCCATGTGCATTTGGACTTAACTTTCTCTTTACCTCATAAAAGTATAGCATGGTAACTTATGTTAAATCTCTTCACGTATTAATTCATTATGAATTTTTGTTGAGAGACCTAGTCAGTGCCAGAGATCCCACGATGAATGAAGCAGACAAAAATCTTGGCTCTCGTGGAACTCACGTCCTCATGTGACTGACAGTTCATTAGAACAAGAAAGTCAAGCATGTGCTGTGGAGAAGGGTAATACAGGGAAGGAGGCTGGGAGTGTCGGGAGTATGGGTACAGTTTTAGTCCAGTGATCAGGGCGGTGACATTGGAGCAGTGGGTCGCCTCTCCTGAAGGACACTGATGTTTATTTCATACCAAGCACTGGGCTTGGGGGTTGGGGTAAGGAGGTCGTCACTGGAGTGACTGTGTCAGTGGGAATTTGAGTCACACACGATGGCCATGGCAATTCATGGAGACATAGAAGAGCAGCCAGACTCTCATCCAGCCATCCTCAAGGCTGCAAATTACTAGTTCAGTCACTTTGCTTGTTTTTGGAGTCATGGGGTCATCTTTTTCCCTTGAAATCTGTGAGGGTGCTTTCTGGGTTTTGGTTTTTGTTTCTATCAAAGTTATACATGCTCACAATGAGGTCGACAAAGATCCTCATGGGCAGAGCAGTCAGCCTGTTCTCAGAACTTCGTTTCCCACTCCCCAGAGCCAAGCACGTCCAGCTGCCCCACTGATCCTTTGGTATTTCCGTCTACCTTGCTAAATAGCATGCTTATAACTGCTATTTCTGGGTTTTTATTTAGTTCTTTTTATATTTTAGTTGTTATTTTTAATTTAGTCGTTATATTTAATTTTTATTTAGTTTGTTATTTTAGTTATTCTGTTTATCTTGATCTCCGACTGTGAAAGATGAGGATTTATCTCTTTTTCACCCCCAGTGCTGCCCATCCCCCCTTCCTTTCATTGTGGTTGTCACATTTGGAGTTCGCATTAAAATGACCTAGATGTGATTCATAGATAACGCCAAGTCGTCCTATGAGGGTACTTTAAAGAGTTCATGGGAAAATTCTTAATTCTTATTATATTTTAATTCTATCTTTCCATAAACTTTTTGAAGTACCCTTGTATATGCAGTTATTACTTTTTCCTTTTTTGCACAACTTTTTGTTCCCCCTACACTTAAAATTGTCTTGTTTGTTTACTTAGTTTTCTACATAATTATCACTAACTCAACCGTAAACTCTTGGTGAAATATTTCCATACATCATATGGGTCAGAGATTCCATGAGTTTCCTCTTTGGGAAAGTCTCCCCTGCAGCCTCTGACCGCCCCCGACCCGGCCGCCCCCTGTGCCTGGTGCACAGGTTCACTGGTATTTCTTTGCCTCTCATTTTTGATTTTTTATGTCCCACGTTCTGTTTTTTTCCTTTTTTTTTTTTTCTTCAATATGTTCCTGAGAACGGGTCTGTGGAAGGTAAACTTTTATGACCTTACAACTTTATTTTATCCTGATACTTGATGGTTTCATTGCACATCAAATTTTAGGTGAGAATTTTTTTTTTTCCCCATAATTTTATAGGCATCACTTCATTGTCTTTTAGTGGCCAATGTTGCAGCAAGAATAAAATGATTCCAATCCTTTGTGGCACTTTTCTTTTCCAAAAGCATGTAGGAGCTTCTGATTGTTCCCAACATTCTAAAATTTCAGGGCAATGTGCCTTGCTATATATATTTTTTTTTCTTTTTTCTTCTCTCACTCTCTCTCTCTCTCTCTCTCTCTCTCTATCATGCTGGGCAGTCACTGCACCCTTCGTAAGGTCCCTCATGTCCTTATTTTCCTGAGTTATTTCACTGGTAACTTCTCTGTTTTCTTTCTCTGGAACTCCCCCTGGCCCGGTCCCCCAATTATCATATCCTTTTTCTCCTATTTTCTATCTGTTTTATGATTTTGTTTTCTGGGAGGCTTCCTTAACTTAATCCTTCAAATTCTGTTAAATATTTCATTTCTGCTATCATCTTTTTTGTTTTTGCATCGTTTCAATTTTTTTATTTTTAATCGTACTATAATATACATAACATAAAATTGACCATTTTTNTTTTTTTTTTTTTTTTGTCTTTTTCATGACCGGTAAGAGGATCACAACCCTTGGTGTGGTGTCGCCCGCACCGCGCTCAGCCAGTGAGCGCACTGGCCAGTCCTGTATAGGATCCGAACCCGTGGGGGGAGTGTCGCTGCGCTCCCAGCGCCGCACTCTCCCGAGTGCGCCACGGGGCCGGCCCTTAATTCTTATTATATTTTAATTCTATTTTCCCACAAACTTTTTGAAGTACCCTTGTATATGCAGTTATTACTTTTTCCTTTTTTGCACAACTTTTTGTTCCCCCTATACTTAAAATTGTCTTGTTTTTGTTTGTTTACTTAGTTTTCTACATAATTATCACTAACTGAACCATAAAGTCTTGGTGAAATATTTCCATACATCATATGGGTCAGAATTCCATGAGTTTCATCTTTGGGAAAGTTTCTCCCGTAGCCCTTGACCACCGCCAGCCCAGCCGCCCCCCGTGCCTGGTGCACAGGTTCACTGGTATTTCTTTGCCTCTCGTTTTTGATTTTTTATGTCCCACATTCTATTTTTTTCCTTTTTTTTTTTTTCTTCAACATGTTCCTGAGAATGGGTCTGTGGAAGGTAAAATTTTATGACCTTACAACTTTATTTTATCCTGATACTTGATGGTTTCATTGCACATCAAATTTTAGGTGAGAAATTTTTTTTTATTTTCATAATTTTATAGGCATCGCTTCATTGTCTTCTAGTTGCCAGTGTTGCAGCAAGAATAAAATGATTCCAATCCTTTGTGGCACTTTTCTTTTCCAAAAACATGTAGGAGCTTCTGGTTGTCCCCAACATTCTAAAAGTTCAGGGCAATGTGCCTTGCTATATATATATATACATATATATATATATTTTTCTTCTCTCTCTCTCTGTCTCTCTCTCTCTATCATGCTGGGCAGTCACTGCACCCTTCTGTAAGGTCCCTCATGTCCTTATTTTCCTGAGTTATTTCACTGGTAACTTCTTCTCTGTTTTCTTTCTCTGGAACTCACCCTGGCCTGGTCCCCTAATTATCATATCCTTTTTCTCCTATTTTCTATCTGTTTTACAATTTTGTTTTCTGGGAGGCTTCCTTAACTTAATCTTTCAAAGTCTGTTAAATATTTCATTTCTGCTATCATCTTTTTTGTTTTTGCATCGTTTCAATTTTTTATTTTTAATCATACTATAATATACATAACATAAAATTGACCATTTTTAAGTGCACAATACTTAACTAAGTATTGTTGAGTATATTCACATTGTTGAATTTTTTATCTTGCA